GGCCTTGGCGAGGGTTAGGATTCTACTCGCTTTAGGGTTCTACAGTGCTTGGAGTCTGCGGGCAAGGTGCACAGCTTCAGGATTTACGAGTTTAGCTTCAGACGCATGTAAAGTTTGCAATCGCCTAATCTTTGAAACCCTAACCCCCCTGAGCTCCTAGAGCGCAATGCAGTCGGGCGTATGACTCAGCGGTTCAGGATCGAGCTGGTGGGATTTTGATGAACGTTTAGATGCAGTGTGCAGGATCGCAGGCTCAAGATGTACACCTAGTCAGCGTTGCAGTTCCTTTTTGGGGATTCTTCTTCGCTCATTATGAAAGACATGCAGAATGCTGAGACGAGCTTGCAGCATAAAAGGCCTCGGATTCAAGTCTCAACTTAGCAGGACCAAGGAACAGGTCATCCACGGTGCAGGGACCCAAGTCAAAATAATCAGGAGCCTTTGAAGCCTTACCCCTATGGAGACAGTACCTTGAAGAGTCCATGCCTGTAGGTGCTTTGTTTGGTTCCTAGAAACCTTAAATGCAAGCGCCTCGTCGAAGCTTCATCTGTGAGAAAAAACGTACTTGGCAAGTATCCCAACCCCCCCCCCCCGGTACCTACTATACAGGTTACTAGAATACTAGAGCCCCCAGGGCCCTATCATATATGGTACACCTGGAGGGTTAGGGTATGGTAGGTAGTATGGCATTGAATTCGAGCCCGGGGGTTTGTGCAAATAGGATGCCATATACAAAGGTTTCCATGGAACCAGTCTAGATTGTGTGCTTAACTTATACCATAATCCCTGAACCGCAAACGTGGGCGGCGTAAGACCCAACGATGCTTCATGTTTGGAGTACTTCTGGGAAAGAGCTGGCCGCTACTCGAGCAAACGAGTTCGAGCATGCACAGGCTCTGAAGAAGCACCTGCGTGGACTGCATGGTTACCCCGTGTGTATGCAGCAACTTGTGCATAACGGAAACATCTTGGTTGATTACACCAAGCTGGAGGGCAAGATGGATCTACAGTTGGTTTTGCAGCCCATCAACTTCAGTAACCAGACTGCACGTCTTGCCAAAGATGAACTGGCCTGGGCTGCTCAGTGTAATCGTGAGGACACGGTTCGCTTCTTGCTAGACGCTCGTGTCAACCACGACTGTCGTCACCAAAACGGTATGACAGCCCTAATGTTCGCATGTGCCAGTGGTTGTTTGGAGGTTGTACGCTTGTTGCTCGAAGCTGGTGCTGCCCATGATTTGGCAAACTTTATTGGCAAGACACCCCTCGTGCTGGCATCCGAGAGGGGGCACTTGGAGGTTTTACGCTTGCTGTTGGAAGCCGGCTCCAGTAAGGATTGCACAGAGCCAGGAGGCGGCAAGACAGCCCTGATGCTTGCATGTAACGAGGGCCACTCGGAGGTTGCACGCTTGCTGTTGGAAGCTGGTGCCAAGAAAGACTGGACAGACCGTGGTGGCAAAACAGCCCTAATGCTCGCATCGAATCGTGGTGACGTGGAGGTTGTACGAGAGCTGCTGGAAGCTGGTGCTGAAAAAGATTCTGTTGACCATAACGGTGCGACAGCCGTGAAGCTCGCATGCGAGGGGGCTCGCTTGGAGGTCGCACGCTTGCTGCTGACAGCTGGTGCTGCAAAAGATTGCGTAGTCCCTGGCAGCAGGACACCCCTAATGCTCGCATCTGACCGAGGTCACTTAGACGTTGCACGCTTGCTGCTGGAAGCTGGTGCTGGCCAGAACTGCTGCGACCGTTTCGGCAGGACAGCCCTGATGTATGCCTCCATGAGTGGTTCTTGGCAGGTTGCCAGGTTGCTCCTCGAATCCGGTTCTGAGAAAGATTTCCGGAATTCTCGGGGCTGGACAGCCCTAATGTACGCATCCCAGAGTGGTTCCTTGGAGGTTGCACGTTTGCTCCTGGAAGATGGTGCGGACACGAACTCGAAAACCTGTAATGGCATTACACCCCTAATCCTCGCATCTGATAGGGGTCACTTGGAGGTGGCACGCTTGCTGCAAGAAGCTGGTGCTGACAAAAACTGGAGGGAGGACGAGCTCGGCAGGACAGCGCTGATGTTCGCATGTCAGCATCGTCACTTGGAGGTTGGACGCCTGTTGCTGGAAAATGGTGCTGACAAGAACTGCTGCGACCATGAAGGCATGACACCCCTAATGCACGCGTCCAGGAGTGGTTTCTTGGAGGTTTTACGCTTGCTGTTGGAAGCTGGCTCTAATACGGATTGCACAGAGCGGGGCGGCAAGACAGCCCTGATGCTTGCATGTTACGAAGGGCACTCGGAGGTTGCACGCTTGCTACTGGAAGCTGGTGCTGAGAAAGACTGCGCAGACCGTGATGGCAACACAGCCCTAATGCTCGCATCTAAATGTGGTCACTTGCAGGTTGTACTCTTGTTGCGCGGAGCTGGTGCAAAGAAGAGGCTGCTTTGACGATTTCGACAAGCGTCAGCAGTTTCGTCAAAAGGGCTCCATGCGCTGACCTCCCCATGGGCCCCTAAGTAGTTCATTTTTGGGATTACCTTATAGGAGTCTAAATATCAACCACGAAAAGGAACTACTTAGGGGCCTATGGGTAGACTAGCAAGCTTGAATCCTGAATACCCTAATCCTAAAGCTCAGAATGGACCGGAAACCTTAAGCAGAACTTGACCCTGAGAAACGACAAACGTTAAACTCTCAGAACCGGAGCCGCTCACTAGCAAACAAGAAGGAAAGACAACGGGCATAATCACAGGACAAAAACGGAGTAACCAGCGAGACAACCAAACAACAGCAGCAGCAGCAGCAACAACAACAACAGCACACCACAAACCAATATCACAACGACGATGGCGGCTACAAACAAGAACAGTACGCAGGCTATCACCTCAGCGGGAGAAGCGCTGGAGGCGTGTCAGAGGCTGCGAGATGCACCGGTGCTCTCAGCTTCCCTGCCATCGTTACAAGTAAGTTGTTGATTCTTGGCTTGGGTTTGGGGCTTACCAGGGTTTGTAGGGTTTTGGGCATTTTTAGGAGTTATGGTTTGTCTATATATGGTGTTAGAAGCAGTAGGCTTGTAATCTCACGATATCACCGCTTCGGGTGTTTGAAGAGCCCACTTCCAATCTACCTAATAAACTTACCCAAAAGGCCCCATATCTATCAATTAGGTTCTTAAGATATAGGACTTGGTAGTGTGCGATTAGGATTCGGTGTTTAGGGATTGGGGGCTGGGGGCGGCGGGGATAAAGAAAAGGGTTCGCAGTTTAGCATGGCATGTCGTCGTTGGCTTGCCGTCTTTATTTGACATGGTCTTGGCTCTTTTTGATCTTAGGGTTTGAGGCTATGGGATCTGTACGGTTTGTGGATTCAGGGTTAATTGGCGCTCCTTTGACCCTGCAGTCTATACCCGTACTGGCAAACCCTGTTCCGTCGTCCCTTAGCCACACGCCTTTTCTTAACGATATGGCGCCCCCCCAATTGCGACAGGCCCTTTTTTTAGAAGATCCTTCATTGATTCATAGCATATATTTGAAGCTGCACTTCAAGCCACAGCACTTCTATGGTTCAACACCAACACAGCAACCTCGCATGGTAGGCGCGCACCTTGGACCCTGCATCCTCACGCACCCATTACGGAAAGTCTCAGAACTGCAAAAACAACCCTAAACCCTAAACCCCTAAACCCTAAACCCTAACCCCTATAAACCCTAAATCCAAAAACCCTAAACCCCGGGAGCCTGAGCTCTCCTCCACCCTGCCCCTACACCCCCAAGGCCTGAGCCCTAAAACCCTAAAACCCTAAAGCCCTAAAGCCCTAAAGCCCTAAACCCTAAAACCCTAAAACCCTAAAGCCCTAAACCCTAAATCCCCAAGGTCAACGCGAAGCCTCACTCCCAACCTCCCGACCCCAAAGAATGCTGCAGCCCCAGCCGAAAGCCCAAAACCTCAACAGGGTTTGGGGTTTAGGGTTCAGGGTTTAGGGTTTAGGGTTCAGGGTTTAGAGTTTAGGGTTTAGGGGACCCATCCGAAATTTGAAACCCTCATTCCTGAGGCCCTAAAATTTAAAAGAAGCTGAATCCGCTCTACATTGCTAACACCCTCTCAATCGTTAAAGCCGAGGCCATCTCCTAAGAGGGCCCTCAACACTCACCCCTGAGCTTCTTCTCTAATAAGGGCCCTTTTGCCTACCCCCTGACGGGTTTAGGGTTTAGGGTTCCTAGAAGGTTCTTAGACTCCAACCCCTAGACTCTGATCCATACCCCCTCTATAAACTATAAAGCTTAAGAATCTTGCGCCCCTATACCTCTAAACCCTGGGCTCGATGCCTTTAGGGTTTAGGGTTTACGGGCCAGATGCCCAAACTTTTTACAAGGTTTTAGCTTCTCAACTCTAGCCTCTGATTCCTTCACCCCTCTACCTAAAAGCTCTAACTCCAGAACCCTAGTCGCGCTTTTTCAAGGCCCCATGCCCAAACCCTATAAGCCCTAAACCCCACATCCTATACCAAACCCTAATACGTCGTCGAAGGTCCAGGTCGCCTTCAACCCTAAACCCCAAACCCTTAAACTACCAACCCTAGACTCCCTACTCCCCTGAAAACCTAAACCCCAAACCCGTAATCCCCTATGCCCTATACCCGAACCCCCCTGCTCCCGTTTAGCCCTCTACCCCTAACCCCTAGGCCCCTATGCCCTCTACCCTACACCCCCGGCTCCCCTTTAACCCTAAACCCCTAAACCCCTAAACCCCTATGCCCTAAACCCTAAACCCTAGACCCCTAAACCCCTATGCCCTATACCCTACACCCCCGGCTCCCCTTTAAGGTTCAGGTCTTCCGTGAGGAGGCTCCGTTCTGGCACTGCCCGGCGAGCATCCTCGCGGTCTGCAGCGACGACTCTGCCGAGCTCCCTTGCTTAAGGGATGGCTTATGTATTACATTACATATGTTTATGTATATGTATATGTATATGTATATGTATACGTATATGCATATGTATATGTATATGTATACGTATATGTATATGTATATGTATACGTATATGTGTATGTATATGTATGCGTGTATGTGTATATGTATGGGTGTATGTGTATGTGTTTGTGTTCGTGTATGTATGTGTGTATGTGCATGTGTTTGTATGTGTATGTGCATATGCATATGCATATTTATTGTATGTGTGTGTGTGTATGTATGTATGTATGTATGTATGTATGTATGTATGTATGTTTGTTTGTTTGTATGTATGTTTGTATGTTTGTATGTATGTATGTAGGTATGTAGGTAGGTAGGTAGGTAGGTAGGTATGTATGTATGTAGGTAGGTATGTAGGTAGGTAGGTAGGTAGGTATGTATGCGTGTGTATGCACAGGTATGTGTGAGTTTAGACTGGGGTCTTCGGTGCTTAGTGCTGCTAGGCTTTGGAACTTCGGGTCTAAGGGTTAGGCTTGTCAGGGTTTGGATTTTAGGCTTGAGTTTGAGGGCTAACACCTTCATAGGGTTCAGGTTGTTTATACGGTTTGAATCTGAAAGAGTAGGGTTAGGGGTCTGGGGTTGACAGACAGGGTTTAGCGTTCAGGTTTTGGAATTCTGGGTTCGGGGCCTAGGCTAGGGTTAAGGGTTCAGAGTTTACGGTTTGGGTTCAGGGTGTGTTACTATTCAAATTTCCAGGCTTTCTCCCATAGGCCCCTAAGTAGTTCCTTTTTGGGACTACCTTATGGGATTCTAAATATAAACCACAAAAAGGAACTACTTAGGGGCCTATGGGTAGGGCAGTTTGCTCCAGGCTTTTCGATCTGACTGCTCTTCGTGCTGAGTCTAAGCCGTCGGAGCCGCGGCATGTTGAGACGAAGCCTTTGGAGAAAGCACCGCTGACACTTGGTATGCAGTGGTTCGATGCATGTGTTGGGTATCAAGGTCGACAAAGCCTGTAAGTCATACATATTTAGGTAAGCTGGCAGCATTTATGCCGCCAACATCGTGCCTTGTCATGTTGTCCGTGTGCGTTCTTCCGTGTGCCAGTCTGCCGTCCGCAAGAGCAGGGGCCCTTCACAACAAGTGCTTTGGGTTGTAAAGCAGGTCGACTTCCAGAACCTAAACCCAAAACCCTACGCCCTAAGGCCTAAGCCCAAAGTGCACTGGGTTCCCGCGACCTCAATGCCCATGCCGTTCACCGATTTCTTGAGGCAAGTCAATGATTCAACCCTTCTCCCCACGACCACTTCCGAAGACCATGGCAGATTCTTTGTCATCCTCCACCGTTGCTTGCCCGGAGTCTTGCAGGGTGCCTTCATCATAGGTACAGCGACCTCCTGCCCGGAAACATGAACCCCGTCAACTTCTCCCGGGATCTGAAATCCAATCTCCCCATCCGATCACGTCAACCCTTGCCCACGGACTGCTAAATGTCAAGGCTCTGTGTCTCAGGATTTCGAACTCCAAGATGAACCCAAGCTAAAAGTTTAGGGTTAAGGGTTTAGGATTCGGGTTTAGGGTTTTGGGATTTCATCCATAGTCAAACTTCGCCCAACATCGCTGCTGCCATGTTTGAAGCAGGAGCCACCCGCAACACGACACTAAACCCCGATCCTGACACTCTGCAGCATAAGAGCCAAATGCACAGCTTTACTCGAACCCGGCTCAATTTTAGTCCTTAGATCCTGAACCTTCGAAGATTTCACGCACCTAGGAGCACTTTTGGCTTCAACCTTCCGGCGGGCGCGGAAGTTTCGATTGGCTGGCCAGATGCCGCTGCGCGCCTGCGGGCCCTGCTGCCCCTGCGGCATGCGATTGATTCTGGTTCTTGTAGTTCATCTGCGCTTTGAAAGCTTGGTGAAGTTTGTCTCAGCGTTTTGAGGGTATGTAGAGGTACACAGGTATTTTTGTGAAATATCGAGGTCGGATTAATCGAGATACATCTAGACAATACTCCCTACCCAAGATCCTGTTCTAAGTATCAGGATGAACCTTGTAGGAACTGGGGTCCTCCAGACAGCTTTGATCATCATTGGGTTCAACCATTATTGCACCCGTAAAGGTTCTTTAGCCTTGCAGTGCTTAGGCCAGGTTTATCCCGTATAGGGAACTAAGTAGACTACGTACATGGTTCAAGAGTATGAATCGCGGCCCTTTGAAGGGAACAGTAGAGTTCTATAATCGGATCCCCCTTATACGGCTTCGATTGCCGGGTTTTACCCGCATCAGCCCGAAGCCCGAATCGTCCCCGGGTTCGAGGATCCGTCTGCATGATAATAGGAGCCTGAATAATAAATGGTAGTACTGCTCCTCGGGATTCCTTTAGGGTTTAGGGTTCAGGGTTTAGGGTTTAGGGTTTAGGCTGCTGTAGTTCTACGACCATATGCCTCAAAACCCCGACAATTCAAGTATAGTATACCTCGAACTCAGATAGTTGTACCATAGTCTGCCTCAAAGCCCTGCTCTAATCGGCTCTAAA